CTCGAGAACGATATTGAAAAAAATTCTGAACACAGTTTTTGTTTGTTTTTTTTTTTTCGAAACCCAACAACAAATTTAAATATTCCATGAGTTTGTATTGTCTTCTCGCTGTTTTTTTTTCGGCACAGCTTCATAACGACGTCATGTGATCATTGATAATTGAACGTAAACACAAATGCAAGATTAATGAAAGCTTTTACGCACAACAACAGGGAAATAGTCAACAAAAAGCGTCCACGAGACCAAAAAAAAACAGACAATTCATAAAACGTTCAAATGAACATTGAACTGAAAAAAAGGAAAAAATAAATCGCAAAAACAAAAAACAGAATTTTTTCGGAAACAAGCAAAAACATCAAACAATAAAGCCTCGCTCTTGTCCCTCACGTGGTCGCTCGCACACTCACACACACACACACCTACAAAAACGAAAGCCTCCACACAATTGGTAACCACAAAATGACAATTGGTAACTGGAGTAACATTAACGGAAAATCTCTGAAAAGACGAAATAAGCGGCTGAGTGGGTGGTATCGGTAACAATGGCAAAGCTTAAATATTGTTTTTCAATCGAATGCCCAAACACCACGACACACACAATATTATACATACACACTCACATATATACAAACACATGTATGTGTGTACTTACTCATCATACAATAGGCGGCAGGCACAAATACCCTCAATGGAGTGTTGAGAATAATATAAGCCATAACAAACATCCGTTTCCGGCTAACAGTAACATTTAGCTGGGTGTTTGTATGTGTGTGTGTGTACGTGGGGAGAAAGCAGAGGGAGGGAAAAAACAAATGAGTTTTTGTCAGCCAAAAAAAAAAAGAAATGGCTCCGGCGTAACAGCATCAACTACCAACCAAATAACAATACATAAGCCACATAACAAAACATGTTCGAACATGCACACGGTCCACAACAATTCCGGGGGAGAGATATTCTTTTGTGGGTACTTGTTTTTTTGTATTTTGTTATATTAAATTTCATTAGTGTCCTTTATTGACTTGTTGAATACAATATTTAACAAGCGAGTGTTTCGAACAGGGGCTGATATGATAATTGGAGGAAGGTATATTTGACTTCTAAGTCAAATAAGGCCGTTTATGGGAGTAAATCCAATTCTGCAAGTACAGGGTTGTCCAGGTTTTGACAGAGATGTCACATCGCTTAATGACATACCGCGTTTGAAGCGTCAGTCCAAGCAGATTTTTACCATGAACCAATACACGCCACGCGAAATAGTTGAAATTTACATTCAACAGAAGAAGTTAATTGTAAAAACTCAACGTGCTTTTAAAACATTAAAAAATGTGAGAAGTGCGCTTTCTAAGAACACCATTAAGCGTTTATACGAAAATTTTTCGAATGGTAAGGCTCTTTCTAATCCGAAGAGGCCATATAAAAGTCGACCAAGGCGATCGGCCGAGAATATCGCTGCCGTACGAGCCAGTGTTGAGAGGTCCCCAAGAACATCCCAAAAACGCCGTTCTCAGCAGTTGGGCATGGCTCGGTCCACTTTACAACGGATTATTCGCATTGGTTTGTATTTGTTCCCGTACAAAATTCAATTGACGCAAAGAATGTTGCCTGCGGACAAGCCTCGTCGATTGGAATGGGCCCAAAGAGTCATGGGTCCGTCGAATATAGGGAACCCGGTACTTACTGGCAAAAAGGTGTCTTAAAATTGGCTCATCGAAATCCTATTCATTCTCCTATTTTCTGTAGAAATATTGAAATATCGCATTAAAGAAAGTAAAGTGCTGTTTTATCCATCGAAATATTCAAATCTCGTAATAAAGGGTGACTTTTTTGCTATTATATTTTCGGCAACACTAGTTTCACAAACTTTTCGTGTTTTGTTTCACTGTCGAACATCTATAGTTCAATCCATAACTCTGTCCAACTCAAATAATTAAATTAAAAAAAAAAAAAAAATAAACTAAATATGTTAAAAAGCAGTCATTTCGGCCTGGAACGATATGGAATTTTTCAAAAAATAAAATCCTTTAAAAGTTCTGTTAAAATTTTAAAAATACCGAATGTAGCCTTTATATTGGGGTCTTTACGACATGGACGTACATAAGCATGGTTTGTCATAAGCCATTACCATATTCAAATTCGAAACCTGAAATAAACGGTGAATAATGTAGCTAAAATTATCAAAATACCGTATATAGGGAGGAACTGTGCGAAGACGTGGACCTGCATGGACAATTTTCTCTCACAGACTGTAGCTTCCACTACGAACTTCAAATACGACATCTCAAACAATTTAATTGAGTATTGTACCTAAAATCGTCAAAATTCCAAATATTGGGAGGTACTGATATATGGGGCCTATACGAAGACCTGGACCTGCATAGACAACTTTCTGTCACAGACTGTTGTCAAAGACCTAAAATGGTAAAGACTAGACAAAATGCATTTTGAGCAAATGGTTTGTGTCTACAATACATAGAGTAACAGCTCATGGCAGAGACATGTTAATATAAGAACCACTATTACAGAAACGGATATCAAATAAAAATTTGAAAAATCCAAAATTTTGGTTTCAAAATTCTATTCCATGGACCTTTCCGAAAATTTGCACATTGCTTTGGCGGTTTAAATCAGTTAACATTTGTAATTATGTTGTTATGATATCGTAACAACAAAGGTATTTTCACAGGGTTACCATATCTTGACTCTGCCTTGTCCTATCTTTACACTTCTATGTCTTTGCTGTTGTTCCCATTATGAACTCTAAATACATAATTTGAAACAACTCCGGCGCATAATGACGCTAAAATCATCAAAATACCGAATATTGGGAAATACCGTAATATACGGGCTATACGAAGACGTGGACCTGCACATACAATTTTCTGTCGTATGCTGTAGTATCCGTTACGAACTTCAAATACCAAATTTGAAATTTAGCTAAAATCATCAAAATACCGAATATCGGGAGGTACCCTTATATGAGGGCTATATGAAAACGTGGACCTACATGGCCCATTTACGAACTTAACCTGCCTACTGGCAAAATAAACATATGTGCAAAATTGCCATTCTAAGCCACTCGTCCGACAGCTGTTACAATTATTCTAGTGACAGCTAATTATATTGTTTACAAGCGTACAAAAGCATTTTGGTGAGAATTTTCCAGAAAAAGTTATTCGTGATGTAACTCAAGCGAGATAGTGTGATTTATTTATATTTGGCTGGAAAACCACAAGCTACTGTCATTAGAGCCCTCCAGCATTTAAATATGAATAAATCTTTTGTGTCTCGTACCATCGCTCGTTACCGTGATACTGGTAGCGTAGTCCGATGTCAAGGAAGTGGACGGAAGAAAACAGCAACATCAGCAGAAATGGTTCGAAAAGTAATGAAGCGACTTGATCGAAACCCGCGTCGCAGTGCCCGAAAAATGGCTCGTGAGCTAAACATATCGCAATATTCCATTCAGCAAATATTGAAAAATGAGCCATTGAAATTCCAAAAAGTGCGAAAACCACCACAACAGAAAGAAAATAGACTCAAAAGTGCTAAAGAGTTGCGTCGCTTGGCCGAAAGTGGTGAACTGCCGAATTTGTTTTTTTCCGATGAGAAAACATTCGTTGTCCAGCAGTTTGTAAACAAACCTTCGGTGGCCACCTGAACTCAAGCTATGGTGATGATGTGGACCACCATAACAGCCGATGGTAGCTCTCCGCTCGTATTTATTCACCGTGGAATCAAAATAAATGCCTAATATTTTCGCGAAAATATTCTGGAGGGTGTATTAAAGCCTTGGGCACGCAAACATTTTGGACATTCAAAAAAGACTCAGCACGCGCCACCAAAGAATGGTTACAAAATGAGGTTCCTCACTTCATTTCCAGCGCAAAATGGCCACCAAAATCTCCGGATACCAATCCGTTGGACTATTGTGTCTGGAGTATTTTGGAAAGCAAGGTTGGCACTAAAAAATATCAAAGTGTCGATCACCTCAACCAAGCGCTTCTTCGGGATTGAGCCAAATTACCGCCGAGCAACAAATATTTACATCAGTGCTAGATCAGGTGCGAAAATGGACAATATCGTTCCACTCCATCGAGTAACTCTCTTCTCATGCAAAATTTGGTGTCGATTGGTTTCAATTGTGTGATTAGGAAAATTTTTCTTTCTTTTGTGTATTTTGTATTTCGCACTTAAGTTTTTTTAGCGTTTTCGTAGAATGGAAATATTAGTATTTTTTCGTACAAAAGTAGTGGTCTATTTGTGACCTTTATAACAACTGAAAAATCAGTAAAATTTTTAGTTGTTGGTCCATTTCAACCCCTAAGAATATTGCGGGCATCTTGAAAAACAATAGGCCTAGCCCTTCTGAGCCTAACCCTATCTATTTGTGATTTCGTCACGGTTTAATGGAACATTTGACTTTTATTTAACACAAATGTTATGGTCTATTTCAACCACTAAATATTATCCGATGACTATCAAAATTGGAAGGCTTCTGCCCAGCCCTAAGCTCTAGCTCCATGCTAACTTCAGTGTCAATTGGTCTATAATTACGACTTGCAGAGCAACTGCAAAATCAGGAATTTTTTCAGTTTTTGTTCCATTTCCTCCCCTAAATATCATGCGATCTTCTCCAAAAGCAATAGGCTTATATTCTGACCGTAACCCCACCTACATTTTAAATTTCGTGAGGATCGGGCCATAATTGCGACCTGTAGAGTGATTATAAAATAAGATTGACAGACGGACGGACATACATAACTAGATCGACACTCTCAGAGAAGAATCTTGCTTAAAATTAGGCTCTGAAAACATCAATCTGTCGCAAACTTTCGATAATTTCAATCATAAACTAATACCCACTGATCACACCACCTTCATATGGCCACGAAACCACAAAACGACAACAACAATGGGTGGATGTGAAGCCATTGATTTCAATTTTTAATTGTAATCGGAGTTTTTTTCGACTGTCGACTTGATGCTATTTTAACGTGAAATTTTATAGATGACATTTTTTTGGCCACAAAATTACCAGAACTTTATTTCATTGTTGAATGACGGCATGGTGTTATTTTTAACAATATGTTGTTGCCCTATAAGTGATGGATATTTAATAATGAAAAATACTTGAAACTCGAAAATGCGGTATAGAATGAGCAAAGAAAGGAAGAAATATTTTTAATTAAAAGGCCATGGTTTTTGGTGGAAATGGAAAACCTTTATTTACAAAAAATGGCAGGTCCACAATTATTTTTGGCTTATCGTATTCTTTTTATTTGCCATAACCTACGGCGATGCCTTTTTGTCCACCACCGAGTCCACCAGCTCCATAGCCGCCTTTAGCACCGGCGGAAGCAGAAGCTGAAGATGAGGCCGAAGCATGTGCGCCGTTAGCACCACCAGCGCCATGAGAACCGGAAAGACCACCGGCACCAGTTAAGCCACCGGCGCCGTAGCCACCCTTGGCGGTAGTAATAGCCGATGCTAATGAAGAAGCGATGGCATGTGCTGCACCACCGGCAAGTCCAGCTGCACCACCTACACCTTTACCAATTGCTCCACCAATGCCTGCACCAATGGCAGCGCCATGTCCAATGCCTCCACCAAGTCCTAATCCAACACCTTTTCCGCCTCCAACGCCACCACCGATTCCACCTCCAATGCCTTTTCCGCCACCAATGCCTCCACCGATTCCTGCTCCAACACCTTTTCCATGTCCACCACCAACGCCTCCACCAATACCACCAGCGGAACCATAACCACCAGCGGAGCCTTTACCTCCACCAATGCCGCCACCAATACCAGCACCATGACCGCCACCAGCTCCTGCTCCATGACCACCGCCAACACCGACAGAAGCTCCGGAACCTGCACTGGCACTACCACCGGCATAACCACCTCCCGATCCGCCACCCAATCCACCGCCGATTCCACCAGCACCACCATGACCGGCACCGCCACCAATTCCAGCACCGGAGCCATAGCCTGCTCCAGAACCTGATCCGGAACCGGCACCAGCACCATGACCTCCTCCAACACCAGCGCCATGTCCTCCTCCAATGCCAGCATCAAGACCGCCGCCAAGGCCAGCTCCAGCACCATGTCCTCCTCCAACACCAGCTCCAAGACCGCCACCTATACCGGCACCAACACCAGATCCTGATCCAGAACCATAACCAGATCCTGAACCTCCACCAATACCAGCACCATGACCGCCACCTAGGCCAGCTCCAGCACCATGTCCTCCTCCAACACCAGCACCAAGACCGCCACCTAGGACAGATCCAGCACCAGAACCAGAACCGTAACCGGAACCTGATCCACCAGCTGAAGCAGAACCATGTCCACCGGCAAGACCTCCACCAACGCCAGAGCCCGAACCAGCGCCATAACCACCACCAACACCTGATCCTGCACCATGACCAGCACCAGCTCCACCTCCAGATCCATGACCACCGCCAAGACCACCTATACCAGCTCCAATTCCAGCACCAGATCCGAGACCGGCACCAGAGCCGGAACCGCCACCATAACCACCAGCGGAACCATGACCTCCACCGATGCCAGCTCCGCCACCAATTCCTGCTCCTCCTCCGATTCCGCCACCAAGTCCAGCTCCACCGCCATGACCACCTCCGGCGCCTGCGGCCGAACCAGCACTGGCACTTGCACCACTACTTGCGGAACCATAACCTCCGGCAACACCAGCCGAACCGGACGCTCCGGCAGAACCATGGCTGCCACCCACACCGCCGCCAATACCTCCGGCAGAGGCACCAGCTGAGGCGCTTGCACTGCTAAGGGCCCCAGCTTTACCACCCCCCGATGCAGCTGCATTGGCACTTGCACTGGCACTCGCTCCCGCAAGGGAGCCTCCAATCGAGCCTACACCAGCTCCATATGCTGGAAAGAAGAACAAAAAAAATTTCAATAGTTCCTTTTTTTATTTTCAAAACTCCATCCCAACTCACCATTTGCCAGTGCAACACCCACTGCCAGTAATCCGACTACTGTTAATCCTCTCATTGTTCTCAACTTTCTATGCATCTCCAGCTAATTTAGTCTTCTTTTATAGAATTTCACAAATTGACAGAAGCTAATAAAATTTGTTGTCTTAATTTTTTTCTTTTCGTTTTTGGTTCGGCCATATTTCAAATCTCATGCTGTTTCAGTACCTGGAAACATTAGCGCAACGCCAGACAAAAAAAAAAAAAAAAAACAAAACAAAAAAAGTTCACAATCAATTTAATAAATTACTCTTGTTTCGTTCGTTTGTTTTTTGGATTTTTTTTTTGTTCACTGTTTATGACAGTCACTCTTCTGGTTTTCTAACTTCCCCAATTTCTATCTATTTTGGATGCAGTAGAAGCTGTGATTCCCAGGCAGTTTATGCGCCACCACAAAATTGAGATAAAATATGAATATATTTAAGCGACACACCTGTGCAAAGAATTGGTTATGAAATCTCCAAAATTCTTTAAATGATTTTCAAGATTCCAAGACTTAAGTCGTATATTTTCAACAACACTGTTAAGGTCTCTACGACGACGTAGACCTGCATAGGCGAGTTTTGTCACAAGCTATTACAATATTCAAATGCGAAAGTTGAAAAAATCTGTTTATAATGTAGCTAAAATCATAAAAATACCGAATATAGGGAGGTATCATGGGGGTAATGAAACGTGGACCTTTACAGACAATTTTCTGTCATAGGCTGTAGTATTCCTTACGAACTTCAAATACTAAATTTGAAATAGTTCCGGTAAATAATGTCGCTAAAATCATCAATATATCGAATATCGGGAGGTATCGTTATATGGGGGCTATACGAAGACGTGGACCTACATGACCAATTTTCTGTCTTAAGCCGTAGTATCTATAATAGCATACTTTAAAATGGTCATAACTCCTTAAATATTGACATTTCGGGGTTTTGAGCTATTATTTGTGATCACTTTTTTAAAGAGGAAAAATATTATACTTTAAAATGGCCATAACTCCTTAAATATTGACATTTCGGGGTTTTGAGCTATTATTTGTGATCACTTTTTTAAAGACGAAAAATATCATACTTTAAAATGGCCATAACTCCTTAAATATTGACATTTCGGGGTTTTTAGCTATTATTTGTGATCACTTTTTTGAAGACGAAAAATATGATACTTTAAAATGGCCATAACTCCTTAAATATTGACATTTCGGGGTTTTCAACCATAATTTGTGATAACTTTTTTAAAGAGGAAAAAAAAGCATACTTTAAAATGACCATAACTCATCAAAATACCGCATATCTTCATTCGTTCGGAAGCTAGAGTGATTTCCACAGACTGACGGGCATTGCTAAATCGACATAGAATTTTATGCTAATCAAGAATATAAATAAGAGTGGCTCGATATTTACTATTTCCACACAGGATTTTGTTTAAGTAGAAATTTTAAGATGTGTGAAATTTAAAAGGTATCGGAAGCTTATTTTGTAATTAAATAAGAGTTATAATTATTCAAAATTTTGATGATAGGGGAGGTATTTGATGGAGTGGCCGATATTTTCCACTTTTTCGCACCTGGCATAGTACTGATAAAAAATTGGGATTTGCAAAGTTTGTATAATTGCATGATCATTTCTTGGTCTATACGGTAAATTATTTTCTTTGAAAATTATGCACTTTTGTGGGGAAGGTACCAGAAGAAGTGGTCCGATATTACCCAATAATATTACGATGTACTAAATTTGGATCAAACTCCCTCCAAAAGCTATCCTGCGCACCAGCCAGCCGGACAGACTCGCCTAGTTCGACTCCAAATATCCTAAAACGGATTTGGTCCACAGAGAACTAAAGTCTAAGACAGTAATTTCGGTGAGGGACGTATTACCCGTATCAAATCATATATACCCTTTGTAGCCATATGGCTGGGGGTGTAAAAACGGCAGTATTTTTTGTCGAGATGTGCTGGAAATAAGTTGTTGACATTTTAATTTGTTTTTGAATGGAAGATCTGGATCACAAGTATTGATGATCTTAAGAAAATAATCTTAAAAAGTCAATGGTTTTACCAGAATGTTTCTGGAAGAAATGTACGATTTTTGGATAAAAAATATCTTAAAAATATTTGAAAGTTGAAATGAAAATTTTTATCAGGAGTTCCCTTAAAAAAAGAAACGTCTAAAAATCAAGAACATTTGTCTAAAGCCCCACGAAAAAATGTTAAAAAATCTACGATTTCATTTCAAGACGTCCTTATTTCTTCTTTTTTTAAGTTAAGTAATATTTTATTGAGTCTTTTTTATCAATAAGATGACAATTAAAACAAAAAGGAAAATCCTTAAAGGAATCCTTAAGACTATAATGTATTATCCTAATGCCGAGAAGAGTTATACAGCATCATAAAATGTAAACATCTAATTCTTTAATGGACGCCCTTGCTCCCGGGACTTTTACATAAAGAGAAAATCTTAAATCTATTGTTTAAAACTTTAAACTAGAATTTAAATCTAAAAGAAACAAATGAAAAAGAAAAAAAAAACAATACAAAAATAATAAAAAGGTACGCAGTAGCTACCCTCATTGAGTCCCGGCGAGCGCCTTTTCATGAAAGCAGGTAATGCCTGCCTGATCCTCATTTGAATACCCCAAAGGAGAGGGATACTGTGTGTTTGACAACCCAAAGTTTCTCTGAATGCTATCATATAAGCATTTTCATTAAATTCCAATCTTAAGTTAAAATTATCCAAAATATCAAAAGCGTATGTGGAAAAACGCTTTAACTTTTAATTGGAAGAAATATAGTTATTTAAATATCTTTTTTTTTGTGCTGCTAAAATTTTTCCCTATACAAAACCTTAAAATTTTCCTCTCCATCATCTCAAGTTCCTTCATTATCGTCGGGGATATATTGAAGCAAATTGGAAATGCATAACTAATTATTGGTCTTATGCAAGTTTTGGGTTGGGTAATATAAATCCACTATTGAGTATAAACCTCATATTATCTTATCCTCCGATTTACGCGATTTTGGCTACATCCAATCTTTTCATTCCGCGTGAATGGTGGTGCTAAAATGTCATTGTGTTATCGTCTTAATCTCGCGTTCATCATCCATAACATTGTAGTTTCCAAAGCACATAATATTATTTCTTGTGACATTCTAATATGTATTCAATAGACATTCTGAGAACCTGATTTCTTGAAGCAAATTCCAGAGTTTGTTAAACTTAACTTCACCCTTAACATGTTAATGCAATACAACCATTTTCATATTTTAAAGCTCTCCTTATCTTTACAAATGTTTATTATAATATAATAATAAACATTTGTGAACCCAACAACAAACACAATCATATGATTTTTAAAAAACCAGATGCTATTTCAAACAATCAAATTAAACATTTAGCGAAAAAACGTGACCAAAATGTTAAACATTTAACAACAAAACACCACTGCTGAAGTTGTGTTTATTTTTGTAAAACCAGTTTATGATTGATAACTGTGTCGGTAGCTTGGGTTGTTCATTTGTCTGTAGTTTTTTTTTCTTTCGTCTTCTTTTTAAGCACTTGTGACGTAGAGATTACCAATATTGATTTCTACACAATAAATTAAATAATTTATTAGGACTATTGCGTTTTTAGGCTTGGTGTTAAAATTTCCTCGACGATGAGTCATGATCTAAAATACTTATTTGTAAAGAAATCTTCGTTTTTATGATGGGAGGTATATTCTGCTATAAACATTTGTATGCCGCTGCAATCCTTCTAAACACTTTTCAAAAATATATAATAAAAATATTAGGAAAGGTATTTTTTGTATTATTTACCAAAAGCTGTAAATATTCCAAAAAAATCATTTTTTAAAATAATTTTAATAGACATTTCTTACTTGTCCTTGAACAAAATTTCAAAAAAATTCGTGAATTTTCGTCAAGAAATCCTTGAAAAGTTATTTTTCAAAAATTTATATTTTTACCTGGAAGTCCTTGAAGATTCAAAAAATTTGACCAATAAAATGTATTTAAAAAAAATTCACGTTTTTAGCCTCCTTCTTAAAAACTCCACAGTTTTACAGGAGCCTCTTACACAAAGTTATTATCGAGGGAATTTTTTAAAACCCATAATTTTTATATCCTCCACCATACATAGTATGGATGGTATATTAAGTTCGTCATTCCGTTTGTAACTCATTGAAATAATCATTTTAGACCCAACAAAGTATATATATTCTTGATCAGCGTAAAATTCTAAGACGATTTAGCCATGTCCGTCCGTCTGTCCGTCTGTTGTAATCACGATACAGTCAAAACGAATTAAAATAGCTCCCTATTTTGCACAGATCTGTCTTTTGTCTGCAGCCAGGTCAAGTTCGAAGATGGGCTATATCGGTCCACGATATCGCATAGCCCCCATATAACGGTACCCCCCGATATTCGATATATTGATGATTTTAGCCACATTTTTTAATGGAATTGTCTGAAATGCCACACAAGTAGTCCCTTCTGAGTGCCTTATCCTCTGAAAGATAATTGTCTATATAGGTCCACGATATCGTATAGCCCTTATATAACGGTACCCCCGATATTCTGTATTTTGACGATTTTAGATACTTTTTTCAACGGAACTGTCTGAAATTCTACACAAGGAGTTCTTTTTGAGCACTTTACCCCCTGAAAGAGGATAGTCCATATAGGTCCACGATATTGTATCCCACATATAACGGTACCCCCGGATATTCGGTATTTTGATGATTTTAGCCAGGAGTTCTTTAAGAGTACTTAAACCCTGAAAGAGAATTGTCTATATCGGTCCACGATATTGTATAGCCCCCATATAACGGTACCACCCGATATTCGGTATTTTGATGATTTTAGCCACATTTTTCAACGGAATTGTCTGAATTCCACACAAGGATTTGTTTTGGGTACTTTACCCCCTGAAAGAAAATTGTCTATATAGGTCCACGATATCGTATAGCCCCCATAAGTAGCCACATTTTTCAACGGAATTGCCTGAAATTCTACACAAGGAATTCTTTGTGACCACTTTACCCCCTGGCAGAGAATTCTCTTTATAGGTTAACGATATCGTATATCCCCCATATAG